AGTGGGAAAAGCCAATTTGGTATGATTTCTTGAATGTTTTGAACAGAGCAGTTGGTATAGTTCAAGGTATTGACAGGTTAATATGGAATGGATCAAGGGATGGGTGTTACAAACCGAAATCTTATTGCATAAAATGGCTTCCCACGGCAATATTGAAGACCCAATTTGGAGATTGGTTTGGATTAAATTTGTTCCAATGAAGGTCTCGGTTTTGTGTGGAAAGCAGTCCATCAAAGATTGCTGGTCATGTCTGAGTTGGAAAAGAGAAGAGTTAACTGTGGTGATCAATCTTGTGTATGTTTTGCAAAAGTGAGCTGGAAACAATTGACCATGTTATGTGTCATTGTTATGTTATTTGGGAAGTATGGCAACGTTGGTGCAGTGTTTGGAAAGTTAATTTGGTCCTCCCAAAGACAATTAAACAATTATTACATGCATGGTTTCACAGAGAATACGAAGGAATGTTCGGGGTCTATGGCAAATTGGTTTTTTGGTTTAAGTTGGACAATTTGGTTGTGCAGAAATAAAACCAGATTCAATGGAGTTTCTTTTCGATAGATCATATATTTATAAAGCTATGGTCCAGATAGGGGTGCGGGCGAATTACTTATGGCCGAGGTGATTCCAATGGTAATGAGTTTGTTTCTAATCCGGAAGCCATTGTCCTTGGTGTTCGATGATGTAATCTGGGGCGGTGTTATGGGATAGACATTTTTCATTCTGATTTTACTGACTAAACGTTTCCAGGACTCCTGTTTTAGTGCTGCTTTGTTTCCACATTTATTGCAGATAATCAAGGAGTCAGCTGAGCTGCAGTACTTTAAATTTCTTCAAGATGATTCGTTAAATACAAGGCTCATTAATCATAATTGTTAATTCAGTTCATGATGTTACTAGTATATTAGTGTACTGGATTTGGCAGTCTTGTTTCCTTGGTGGTTTTGGTTCGTTATTGCGTTGGTCAATGAGGGGTGGGCTGTTTTTTGAATAGTTTATACTGTGTGGATGTTGTGGACTATGCACCAGTGGTAGTTTTCGGAGATTGCAGGAACTGGTTATGTTTCGATGGGTTTTTGGAGGTGCTAGGCGAGGCTAATGTTTGGCGTGATTCAGCTGCTTACCTGCGGATGGTTTCGTTTTATCCTTGCTTGGGGACCGGTTTCTGTGGTATTTCTTTTTTTCGGATAATCGCGCGGGATACTTGCGTCCTACAGATGGCCGTGGAGGGGTCCTGGTTGCTGGTATGGAACTATTATGGGTATTTTGCAAATGTTTTGTCTTGTATCCCTTGGGTGTATGTTTGATTAATTTACTACTGTTGAGTCGTGCTTCTAGCTTGTTCACTCCAAAGCGCACTCTTTTTCCTCCAGATAGGTTTAGGGAGGTTTTTTAACGAGGCATTTGGATGTGAAGTACTTTGTATTGTTTCTCTTCAATTACAATGTATATCTCTGTTCAAAAAAAAAAAGAAAAAGAGTGAGATTCAATTATCTATTTTCGAGCCATTAAAATATATAGTGAGAGTGGTTGAAGAGCAGTGCCATGAATTGAGATCCTAATTTCAAAATTTTCAGGTTCAATGGTCCCATTGCTATCAAAGATTAAAAGCATGAAAGATTAAGGGAGATGTCAACACATGGTGTGCTCAAAATCTTTTCCAATAAACAAAGATGTGGCCCTCATAAATGTCATAATCTTGGGTACATTTCCTTAGGGTGTGGTGGTTCACCTTTAGATAAATTATGACCAATAAGTTCAAATACAAAATCTTTCCATAAATAGTTATGCTACTCACATATGTTTGATTCACTCGAACGGTCCAATCTTGTCTAATCGAGAGGGGGGAAAAAACTTTATAGGCCGTCACGTTGATCATTAGATACAAACACAATATTTTATTTCATGAAATACAAATTTAAAAGATTATATTAAAAATTTAATGGATATAAAATTTCAAAATTTCAGAGAGTGTGAAATTAAAGCATCATAGAAAATATAAAAAATACTTAAATTATACGAGAATTAAAGTTTTTAATGAATGCGATCACTCCTCAATCCATTCCCGTTAATTATCATTTATCATTGATTGACTTGAGTTATACGTAACTATATAGCTTGATTTAAAGTTCCGTAAGTTAAATATCACTATATAACCCGTAAGTTTAATGTCACTATATAACTTGATTTTTGTGGTTAAAAGATTGTTTTTATCTTTTGAGGTTATAGTTTGTGTTCCACATATGCAGGAGTACGAGTGTTATTGTCAAATGATTAAGAATCTTTGAACATATACTACCTTGTATTCATCCCAAATTTATATATAGAAAAATTTTGTAAGTTAAAATTATTTTATTTTCATTAGAAAAAATGGTTTGAATAAGCCCATCAAGTCCTATCACACTCCATTCATCGAAAATTAAACACTGTTTAAGGAGATCTAAAGTCTTATCACACTAAAACCAATCGAAATTAGTAATATCATGAATCTTTTTATTATGACTTGATCTCACAATCAAAACTATATGAAAACCTAACAACTATATTAACCAATAATTAATTTAAATGTTATGTTCTTTTCTAAAGAATAATTTTCATATAATTACATTAACAATAGAAATTAACAACGCTGTTAATTTATATCTATTTATAACATTATAAAAAATAGATGAATCAACTTAATTTATAAAGTAGAAGGATTGAATATTAAATTGTAGCATACTAAAGACTTCAAAATCATTATTAGACCATTTTTTAGAAATGTTTGAGATTGAATTTGAAAGAATTGATTATAGAAAGAGAGGCTTAATAATATAATTTCCATCCATTAAAATAATAGTGAGAGTGGTTGAAGAGTAGTGCCAAAACTTGAGATCTCAATTTCAAAATTCAAGTTCAATGGTCCTATTGATTCTTACAAGATTGAAAAAGAAAACCCCTTTTGTTTACTTTATAAATAGATACATTTAGAAAATTGATTCGAAAACAATGGCTATGGAAGATTCAAAGCATGGGAAATTCAATGGAATTGTCAACACATGGTGTGCTCAAAATCTTTTAGGGTACATTTCTTTTAGGGTTTTTTCTATTCAAAAACTAAGTCTTTATGTTATCAATAATCTGTTACTTTAGTGAGATAAGATATTAGACCTCTTATGTAAGATCAATATTCGAATCTTGGCATTATGAATGAAAAAAAATTGGGTTGGAATGATTGTCCCTTAATAGGCTTCTATAGTATCTGATCTAGAGTAATCGATTAATATATCATATACTAATAGTTAAACCAAAAACAAGTCTCTGAGCTAATTGATTGATCTCTAAGTTCAAATTCAAAAATTTGATTCGATTTAATTTTGGTTTATAAAAATTCGATTCGAATAATAGTATTTGTACGATATTACTAGTTTTTATCTAAAGAGACAGATCAAGTTAGTCAGCAATAGGTGAAACCCAATTTTTGGGGATGCCTTGGGGAGTTAGCTGAGCCATTGCCTAATGGGTTAATGGAGTTGGGTTAAATGGGTTCCTCAACAAGTCTAGGCTTATCCATCTGTGAGAGTTCTTTTTGGACTCACAATGGTTGGATTTAAACTTCGAGGAGTACATGCAAAGGGTCACTATGATTTGCATGCCTTATCTCATGAACTAGGATGATTATACGATAATACGTATCTGTTTATAACATTTTTAATTAATCAACAATATATATTCCACAGATAAAATACTGGAACTTAAGATTATAAGGAGAATAATATTTACTTTAACTATTAATGTCATTGACAGATTATTTAGGATGGAGATGTACTAAATCGTTGTACATTGGAATATAACCCAAAGTCGAACTCGTATGTCGGATCCACTCTCAATATGTATGATCAATGTATCTCTATTATTTAAATTGATTCGTGTTGTGTATTTTTAAATTGCTGCTTTTGATTCTCGGTACTTTCTGATGAGGTTTTGTTATAATTCATGGAGTATACTTGTATAATTATTTAATAATAACATCACGATATAACGAACTTAAAAGAATCGTAAAATAAAAAATATCAAGATTTAATGTAAAAAAATCATTTAAAAAAAACACATTCAGTGAAGGAGAAAAATTTACTATGCCAAAAAAGAATACAAAAAAATTAGTATCTAAATGTGATTTAAGATTAATCAACTTGCTACTAAACTCTATTCTTAGTATATGTTTATAGGGATAAACTTGCATAGAAAAGGATATCTTTTAACGAAGACGTATTTTGTAGGGCATGCTTTTAGTAACGTGATATATTATATGGACGATTTTTTCGCTGATGTCATTCAAGATCAAAATAAAATAAATGAGAATAATGGATAAAAAACTTAAAATTATATGATTTTTTATTTATAAAAAAAACGCTCACAATACATGTCAAAGACAATGCACAAGTTGACAAAACGACAATATCAATGCATATGTATAAGCATTATCTTCAATCACTTAATGAATGCATGTTTAGAAGATTATATAACATTTTAAAAATTCATATAAAACAATATGAAATTGAGAATATCATGACAATTTTTTTTGTATAACGACCGATATCCGATATTGATCTACTAATCCGGATCGGGTATTGTAGAGGCGAGGACTACCCTCCTAACCCAATTTACTTCAGTCGCAATCGCCATGATTCAAACTCTTGACCTTATTTAAGGGATCTGTTCAAAGATAGATTTTAAACTTGATTAAACTCAAATTAATACGATAATTAAAGATAATTAGATACTAGATCTTGAGTATTTCATAAGGAAAAATTGTCTTGAATGTCGTTGATACAAGTCTGATAAAGTTTAGATGCCCCAAGTCATGTGCCAATTGATATAATAAAACACAATGGGAAAGCAATTAAAAGGACAACTCTAGGTCCAATATTAATGCATTTGTCTTCATTAATTATTTAATTTCGTCCGAACCTGCATTTCTCTTTATAAGTGATTTATCGTAGACAAGTTGAAACGTACATAGGAATGGAGCAAAGGAAAGGCCGAAGATTGGTGCTATTTCCCTTACCATTGCAAGGCCACATTAATCCCATGTTGGACCTTGCAAATATTCTCCATTCGAGAGGCTTCTCAATCATCATAATCCACACCACCTTCAACTCTCCCGACCCTTCGAACCACCCTCACTTCACTTTCCGTTTCATCTCCGAAAACCTACCCAAAGGTCATCGGACTTGCTGCAAAACCGATCTCATTGCTTTCCTTTCGATGCTCAACACGAAATGCGGACCGCCTTTCCGCGATTGCTTGGTGGATTTGTTGTCGGACACTTCGGAGGAGCCGATTGCTTGCTTGATTTCTGATGCTATTCTTTACTTCACTCAAGATGTTGCAAATGAACTTAAGCTTCCTAGGTTAGTGTGCGGACTGGTGCTGCCTCTTCCTTTTGTGTTTTCACTGCTTTTCCCCTTCTTTGGGAAAAAGGGTACCTTCCATTACAAGGTATGATTGTGCCTTTTGTTACTATCCAATATATATTACCATAAGGGATCCATTTATGTGAGTGTAAAACTAAAGTAGTTTTAGGTACTTTCACAACCTCTAAATCATTAAACATGTATAAATAAATATAATATTTAGGTCGATATAATAGATATATTGAATCGATTTAAAAATCTACCTACATTACAAATACAATTATATTGACAAATTTAATGATCTGATTGTTAAAATATAAATAGTACAATAATTATAGAAATGAGTAAAATTAAAGTTAGTTTTACACTCATGTAAAGAGATCCATCTCCTACATATACACACTTGGAGAGTTAATTGCACCAGACATATAGAAACTATCATAAACTAGCCCATGCAGTAGGTATACACATGCTTATAATTCGTTCATACATTTTAAATACGTTTCACGTTAGATTTAAACTTGTATCTGGCGTTAAGTTAATGATTAGGTTGACAGATAAACTTATTGGTATGACATTAACATTTAATCTTGTTTACGGCAGATTCTAAACTAGAGGAGCCAGTGGTTGAGCTTCCACCATTAAGAGTTAAAGACCTCCCATCGATCCACACAAACGACCCGCAAGATCTTTACAAGGTGGTGACTTCAATGGTGAATCAAAGCAAATCATCTTTTGGGATGATTTGGAACACTTTCCAAGAATTAGAAAGAACTTCCTTGGAAACACTTCACCAACAGCTTGGGGTTCCACTTTTCCCAATTGGTCCATTTCATAAACGCTTTGCACCCACTTCAAGTGGTTCATCAACACATGATGGAACTTGTATTCCATGGTTAGATAAGCAAGTCCCTAGATCAGTTATCTACGTTGGGTTTGGAAGTTTAGCCACAATAAGTGAAACCCACTTTTTGGAGATAGCTTGGGGCTTAGCTAATAGTAACCAACCATTCTTATGGGTGGTTCGGACCGGTTTAATCGATGGTTCGGACGGGCTCGAACCATTGCCAAACGGGTTCTTGGAAGCATTGGGTGGAAGGGGACATATAGTTAAATGGGCTCCCCAACAACAAGTGTTGGCGCATCCATCTGTGGGAGCTTTTTGGACTCACAATGGTTGGAATTCAACTTTGGAGAGTATATGTGAAGGGGTCCCAATGCTTTGCATGCCTTGCTTCACTGACCAAAGGGTCAATGCAAGATATGTGAGTGAGATTTGGGGGATTGGTTTGCAATTGGAGAAAGGGATTGAGAGAGGGGAGATTGAGAGGACAATCAAAGGTTGATGGTGGAGGAGGAAGGGGAAAATATAAGGGAGAGAATGTTGCATTTGAAGGAAAAATTGAATCTATGCCTAAGTCGAAGTGGTTCTTCGAGACAATCATTGGATGACTTGATTCATCACATTTTGTCCTTAGAATCACTTACTTTTCAAACTCTTTGAAAAGTTAATTTAAGTTGAATTTGTATTTCTTTCATTAGAAATGATTGAATAAGCCTACCAAGCTCTAGTCAATTGAGCTTTAGGAATTTAGTTACGTTTACCCAATTTATAATGTCATGCTGATTCAAAGATGATATGAGGAAATAGAATATGAAAGAGGAAATAGAATGAGATAGAAGAGATTGATTATTAGATTATCGATGATAATCAATTAAATTTATAAGTTTTAATCACAATGATATAAGATATGAAAAAAAATTAGAGTTGGAAAGAAAATAAAAGAATATTGGTTTATTTCAAGCTAATAACCCTTGTGTATTAGAAAGCAAGAAGTAACAAATTCTGGTAAAAAAGTGAACCCATAAAGTGTTTTCAATGGTAAAAGAGGATGATCTTCTTAAAGGTCTTAGATTCAAGTAATTGTGTATGCAGAGCGTGTACATTATCAATTAACTCGAACAATTGTGTCTGAAATCAAACTCCTCCTTTCGATCCACCATCACATCGTTCGCCATTTTCTCCGCTATCTTCCTATCACACACATCCTTCATGTCCAACCCAATCTTCCACACCTCACTCACAAACTATTCACTTGTTGATCGGCAAAGTAAGGCAAACAAATATGGGCACCCCGACAACGATGCTATCCAAAGTCGAGTTCCATCCGCTATGTGTCAAGAACCCGCCGACGGCCGGATGGTTCAAGACCTCCTCTTGCGGTGCCCAGTTGACAAGTAGTAAATAATTTTGCACTATACTTTTTCTAAAATAATTTGAAATTAGTTTCTAACAAAATTTAGCCCAACTAGTGCCTATATTAAGATAAAACCAACAACAATTAACCTCCTCCTTTCTAATCATAACATTAAAGAAAACCTTTTTTTTTAACTTCATAACCATATTGAACTAAATCACACCCATTCTTACTCTAAAATTGGACATCTTTTTTTGTATAAATCCATCAACAATCTCTCATTATTCTACGCAAGACTAAAAAAAGGAATTCAACAATGGCTACAATGTTATTGTGGTGCATTACGATGATCTTTTTTATGGTCTTTCAAATGGCGAGTTCTGATGCCATTCTGGTTAAGATGAATGTGATCGATAAATGTTGGAGAGGGAACCCTTTTTGGCGGAGTCAACCACAACAACTTGCCAAATGTTCTGTTGGTTACGTTGGTAAAATGACCAACAATATTGGTAAGGATGTCATAAAATATAAGGTCATTGATCCTTCCGATGACCTTTAAATCCTAAACAAGGAACCCTTCGTTATGGGACTACAATGATCAAAGGCAAAGTATGGATCACTTTCAAAAACAACATGCAAATCATACTCCAAAGACCACTTCTCTTAAGTAGTTTTACCGCTATCGACGGTCGTGGTGTCGACATCCACATAACCGGTGTCGGTTGTCTTGTGGTTTATAAGGCGACCGATATAATCATTCACGGAGTACGGATCCACCATTGCAAGTCCCACCCACCTAGCACTGTTATGGGTCCGGACTCAAAGGTGATCCCATTAGGTCAAATGGATGGAGATGCTATAAGATTGGTCACTGCAAGGAAAGTGTGGATTGATCACAACACATTGTATGAATGCCAAGATGGTCTCCTTGATGTCACTCGAGGTTCCACCGATGTTACCATATCTAACAACTGGTTCAGAAACCAGGACAAAGTTATGCTTCTTGGGCATGATGATGGCCATTTGAGAGATAGAAACATGAAGGTCACTGTCGTCTTTAACCATTTTGGGCCTAACTGCAACCAAAGAATGCCAAGGTAAAAATGACTTAGCTCAATGTTTTAATTCAGAACAACCAGATGACTATTATATTAACTACATTGCAGAGTTCGCCATGGATATGCGCATGTAGCTAACAATTTCTACCAAGGATGGGAACAATATGCCATTGGTGGAAGCTCGAGCCCTAGCATTAAGAGCGAAGCCAACATTTTCGTAGCACCAAATGCAGACAACAAAGAAGTAATCTTTAGCACTATACCATCAATTATTTGGCTCAGAAATGTTGAATCCAAATTATTTTTTTAAATAGGTGATTTGGAGAAAAGGCGAGAAGACAGATAAAGCTTTATGGAAATTCTATTCAGTAGGTGATCTTTTAAAAAATGGAGCGTCTTTCAATAAGCAAACAGGTGTAGGAGGGGCAAAGCCTAATTATAACCCAGAGCAGAGTTTTAAGGTTGTGAATGCCAAATCAGTTAGAGAATTAACAAGAGCATCAGGTGTTTTGCAATGCTCTAGGACTCTGATATGCTAAATCCTTGTGAGAAAATAATAGTTATTTAGTATTGATATTTGGATCAAATAAACATGAGTTCATGAAGATTAGTGCTTTGATTATGTTTTATTTTAAGTAAAATATTGTGTGAATATTTTGTACAAGAGAGGGGGACATGGCATATTATTGTGTTAGCTATCAACCTTATCATATTATTACATGCGTCATCATTATAATACATTTAAATTTGAAACCATTTTAAGTTGCATGTTATCTAACAGTAACACTTTGGAATTCGGTCTAGAAGTTTTGTCTAGATAAATCTAATTTTGGAAACGATGATTTTTGGATTTGAAATTTAATTGGAAGAAATGCAAAGATGGGAGGAGCTGATTGAATTTAAATTTGGCATTGAGAGGAATAAACTAAATAATACCTAAATCTTGTGGCATAATTAAAAGGTTTTGTGGAATTAACGATCTAAATTTATTTCATTCCTTCACTTTCATTTCTTTATAATTTGGTACAAAAGTATAAAAAAAATGAAGCAGAGTCGCAAGCATCTATTGACGACTTTGTCAAAGTTGTCCTCATCAACCGACGACTTTATCAATTACTGTAGAAACATCTTTATTTCCCTAATTAATCTGATACTATCTCTGAATTTTTAATTTTATCCCAACATGCATTTCTCCCTAATTTTGTCATGTTTTCGTTTACCTGTTTTAATAATATATCAAATAGAAGTGATCATAAGTCGAACTGATTCAAGTATTCAGAATCAAACTTGAACAAATCAGACTTATTGGACTGGAATGATAATTTAACCTTTTGATAGTAACTTCTTTGCTGTGTAGCGTGCTTTGCATAAGGCCTCCAAAGATTCAGTTTTGGGTAAATTTAGACCTTTCCCCTCGCTCATATCAATTTTCTTCACACACACCCTTTCCAATTCAAAGCATTGAATGATTGACCCTAAAGCCAGGCCAACAACCCGTTGGCCTAAATCCATTCCAGGGCAAGACCTCCTCCCTAACCCGAACGGCATCATCTTACAACCTTCGATCCGGCCGTTCTCGAATCGCTGCGGTTTAAACCTCGGCGCTTCATCCCATACCTTCGGATCCCTTTGAATCGCCCACGCATTCACCAGCAACATCGTGTCTTTGGGAATGTCATACCCTAATATGTTACAACGATCCGATGAGACATGGGGAATGAGTAGAGGTACCGCTGGGTTCAATCGGAGGGTCTCGGACATTACGTTCTGTAAATATCGTAGTTTCGGGAGATCCGATTCGTCTAGCAGTCTGCCATGACCAACATGGAAGTCTAGCTCCGTTTTACTCTTTTGCGGTCCCTCCGAGTAGCATATTCTGCATGATAATAGCAGCAGAAAAGGCATTAATTGTTAGATTCATTAATGGTCGTACTGAATTAAATTGTTCGGTTAAGTGAGACAAACCAATATAAATAAGTATTTTTCTTTAACAGAATATCGAGAGAACGTCCCTATGCTATTGACATGTTCAATTTAAAACTTTTAGGAAAAAAATTAATTTATATAAGTGATAATATTTTTTTCATAATTAATATTGACTAAATTTTTGTAATATTTTAAAATAATAATATTAAGTTTTTTTATAATTATTAATATTATTTATTATATTTCATATTTATAATGAATAATTTTTTAAAAATATATCAATTAGCGAAAAATGATTTTGTATACTATCATCCTAATATTATGAAATAGTTTTTGAAAATTATTTTTTTAAAGTATTTTTGTTTTTAGATAATCTATTTTCAAATATTAATTACTATTGCTATGAATTAAAGGAGCAACTTCGTCACCTGGATTATGCCTTTGATAATTTCATCAGTATAATACTGAGCTTGTGATTCTTGCAAACAAAGCAAATGACTGATCATTGTATTCTCCTTGTCGACAACATCTTTATTCCTTCGATGCTCATCGATCAAACCCTGCAACAAGCCATCTATTTCTCTCGTTAATTTCACCACTCTCTTCTTATGTCCTCCGAAATCAATCCACTGTAAAAACGATAAAAAATTTTCCAACATTTGGTGGATCTTGTCACCATTGTACCGTTTGCCTGCAATCATCCTCATTGTTATGTTAAACGCTAGCTTCGACACCATTGGTTTCAACACGACCTTAACGAAACGGTCATCGCTCGAAGCGAAATGCAATTTTCGCAAGAAATTCTTGATTTCGTCCCTCCGAATACTCGAAGACGAGTTCAAACGACTGGAGGAGAAGATCTCGAGTTTGCAAATACGTGTAAGGTTTTGCCGATGGTCGCAGTAAGGGGATGAGCCGAGGGTGGTGTAATCATAACCGATATACTTGCCGACCCAGAAGAAAGGACGGTTTGCAAAAATGATATCGTTTTTGGTGAAGCATTTCTCGACGGCCGACGGGGATGACACAACGATCGCAAGACGTGAACCGAGTCGGAGGAAGAAGATCGGACCGTGTTTTTGCGAGAGAGAGAAGAGGGATTGGTTGAAGAGTTCCTTGAGGAGATGGAGATGGCATACAATTGGAAGAGTTGGTGGACCTGGTGGGAGATTCATGTTTTAATGTCTTGTTTGATCCAAGAGCTTGAGGATAGCAAAGATTAAAGAAGAAAAGTAACCAAACAAAACTCAACAAGTTCCATGTTAAACATGATAGGAAGGAAAGGGAATGAGGTGATCAATTGAGAATTGAGGATTCTTTTATAAAGACTTTGCATCAATTCCTTTAATTCAGAATTAGTATGTCATCGTTAAAAATTTGATGATATATAATACGACAATCAATAGAATTAACATAATAAAAAATTAGTCATCAACTTTTATACTTTGTTCTAATTTAATTCTAATTCTAAAA